ATGCATAAATTTGCTATGAAGTTTATGCGATTTGCTTTGTAGGACTCTTAAGTTTACAGTAGATCTATTATGACTTCATATTTTCACATTTTAGTAATAATCATGTACTTTTATATTTTATTTTGGTGAAGGACATATTTATTACTGAAATGTGAAAATCTGAGGTCATGATAGGTCCTTCATAAATTTGAGGATACTACAAGACAACTCGTATAAATTTCAAGGGTAAATCTATGCATTTGGTCGTATTTTAAGAAGAAAACATATCAACAAATACAAATAACAATTTAAGTGCATGCATGCATACATGAACACACACATGCACTTATCCTATGTAGCTAATAATTGAGACTTCAAACCTACCACTAAAATGTACTCTCTTTGTTTCTAAATAATTGTCACATTTGAGTTTTCGGTAAACTATTCAACTTATTTAAGTTATAATAAATTATTGAGTAAATTGAATATACTACTTTTAATTTGTCTAAATATTGAGGAAATAAAGCAATCACTGTTGGTTATACGCAAAGGGTAAAAATGAAAAAAATATTTTTTATTGGTAAAATCCATAAACGTAATAAGTATCTAGGAAAATAGTACTTTCTCAAATATAACAAGTATTTGAAAACCACAAAAGTATATCGGTAGAACAAAAGATTGTAGGCGACAAGCAAATGCATAGATTGAAGAATACAATTGGAATACAAAGTATGATCAAAACCCAGATTGGGTTAAAAATGGTGTTGGTCAGCTATATTTAATTACAGTAAAAAGAGTAGAGCAGCTCAGGTGCATAATATGTGGGGACAAAGACAAATCTTTGGGTTCAACCTTCAAACACTTAATAGACATTGCACATGCACCCATAACCCTCCCTTTATTTTTTTCTCTTTGCTTTAAGAAAAAGGAGAGAAAGTGCAATTTATGTTAGCTTTAATGTGTGTTCAACATCTCTAGATTGTACACAAGTGGAATCAGAGAAGAATAAGTAAAGCCTTAAATTAAGGTGAAACCATTTCTTTTTTTGTGGCCACAAATTGAAAGAAACAATATAGAATAAGTAAAGCCTTAAATTAAAGGTGAAAACCATCCTTTTTTTGGTGGCCACAAATTGAAAGAAACAATATATATATATTATATATATATATTATAATAGCCCACAATGTGTCCCCTTCCTTCATGCACATTCCTGTTTAGCTAGCCCACAATGCCACTAACCCATCTCTTACCCAAAAATATGTGACAAAAATGGGTCCACAATATAGGGGAATATATATATATATATATATATTAAATCTTTTAAATTTCTAGCTTGATGAGTACTTTGTTTCTGTAAAATCTTACACCAGAGATTTGCTTCTTTCACTGCATAACCATAGCTCACATACATGTTGGGCTGCCAATTCCTAGATAATTAGATTTCCTTCTCTTACCATTGATTTTTGCTTCCCCAGTATTAGAATTTTACTTTATTTTTTTAAATTTCTGGCAGTATTTTCCTTCTCTACTTGTACTATTCTTTTAGCAAAAAATAAAAATAGAAATAGACAAAACTTTGCTAAATGACGAATTTCAACTAGTTGTCCCACTTTATATATGTATGTAAAAGAAAAATCTTCTGAATTTGTCCCATATATAAAAGGTGAAATGAAAATAACACTCATCACTTAATTAATGAATATTACAGAAGAGACTTCATATAGTTCCCTTCTATTAGCTACTGATTCAACTCAAATTTTATTAATTTAAGGTTCATTTTTTTATACATCAGAAAATTTTTGAAACATGTGATAAAATAGAATTATTATTACAATTATTTACATATTTTACAAGATAGGCATTCCATTTTGGATCAAACAAGAATGTCATAAACATTAGAAAAAAGCATGCTCTCCTCTATATCTATATATAAAGAATGGGTTATACAGAGGAAACCTTATCTTGAAAAAGAAAGCAGAAAAATCTAATGGAAAAAGGCAATACCTTTGGTTTTGAGGTCAGGGATTTTATCTTTGGAAAAAAGAAAGCAGAAAAAATCTAATGGAAAAGGCAATTACCTTTGGGTTTTGGAGGTCAGGGATTTTTGCTATGAAAAATACAAAATAAAGTAAGATGAAATACCTTTTGGTTTTTGAGGTCAGGGATTTTTGCTATCACAATACAAATAAATAAAATGAATATGTATATATAGATCCATGCTTGTTGATCACATACATGCAATGGATTCACACATCCAAAGCTCTTCAATTATTTGGTTTTGAGGTCAGGGATTTTTGCTATCACAATACAAATAAATAAAATGATATGTATATATAGATCCATGCTTTTGATCACATACATGCATGGATTCACACATCAAAGCTGTCAATTAAAAGGACAAAAAGCAAACTGACATGCACTTGGGTTTTGCATGCCACTATAACTTATCATGCCAAGATTGCGTCTTCTTTTATACATATATATTTATGGAGTCAAGTCTAATTTTATTTTTCAATTTCCGTAAAAATAAAAATATAAATTCAATTCTCTAAAAATTTATTGCTCTCTCCTCAAAAGGAATTTACACCTTCGTCTATAGAAAAAAAAATTCTTGCAAAAAGCACCAAACTTCAAACCTATTAGTCTGGGAGCAGAGCATGTAATAAGATTAAGGGATGATTTGCATGTGAAAATATTACTAAGTAGTTTATGATGCAAAATTATTTTTCAATTCATGTTCTTTTTACTGTAGTTACCACATTGTTTAGAGAGAGAAAGAGAGGAAACAGTGGGGGATTGAGACAATCTCCTTGGGTATAGCCGACCAAGGTACGCTTACCAATACATTTGTTGCCCGTACATTCTAACAATTCATCTCTCTCTACGTAACATTTATCTCTCTACGTAACATTTATCTCTTTCTTGATTCTTTTGTTAGAAAAATAATAATCCTTATAGAATGAAACAAATCAAACCTAATTAGTCATTGAGATTGAAAACTCTCAGTGTTACCACATCTTATATTTTATTGTGGATCCGTTTGTTTTCGTAAAATAATATGCAGATCGTTGGAAACGTTCAAGAAATAAGTTAATGAAAAATATTTTCCTAATCAAAGAGAAATTAAGTCATTTTTAAAGAAAATAATTTTCAATTTTAATAGAGTAAAATATTTTCTTTACATTAACAAACTGAAGTTATTTTTTGAATAACAATATGATATGCAGGATTTATTTAATCTCTCTCTCGTATTCAACTAATCAATCCCTCTATTTCAATTTTCAATCACAATTGTTAATTGTCGCAACAAATTTCTTTTATGAGGAATTAATAATTATATTATAAAAGAAATTAATTAATTAATTAATTAAAACAGTAAATATTGGAAATTAGGTGTCGGTAAAAAGAAAAAAGGCAAAAACATGAGTTGCTTATTATTATTAGCTTCAAAAATATTTAATTAGGTGTCATGATGATCAATCTTTTACGTAGTTCATTGTCCCTTTGTGTTTAATTAGGGAGGTGGTAGTGCTCAATGCTTACCTGATGCTGCATGCAACGCACGTTTGTATATATATTTAGACCTTTATCGTATTTTATAAAAAAATTATAGCATAAAATAATATTTTTTAATATATTTAAGTACTCTTACCATTATTTTGTCTGGTTACCAATTTTAATTTTTAAGGATTTTTATATGCTATTTATAATTTTTTTTACATTTCAAAATTTGAAAAAAAAATGGCTTGGGAGTTCATGCCCTCCAATAAAGAAAATGCATTTCCAAAATGCTAATGCTTGAATTAATGGTGATGATGGTGCTGAATAAAACAAATTGAAAAAGGAAAATTTCACATATTTGTGATTGTGTTTCTAACGACATTAAAATAAGTTTTGATTTTCTTTTTTTTTTTTAAGATCATAAATTGTAATTTCATCCCTCTTTTTTTTTAAAAAAAAAATTTTGGAATAGGTAATAAACTATTGAATTATTTATCTAATGAATTAATTCTCAATTATTTTTTTATGATTTATTAAATTATTTAACAGAATATGATTAACTAGAGCTTTTTGCTAGCAATAACCTTTACTATAATTGTTCTTTTATAATTATTAATTCCTATATAATAAACAATTATATATTAATTAACATAAGTATTTTTTTTTTTTAAGAAAAGAAAAATACTTGATGCACATATAATTGAGATTGAGTAGCTAAATCAAATCAAGATAAACTTCTTTGACCATATAGTGAAACATTGCAAAAGCAAAACCCACCAAACTGTTTAAATATGGTAATAAAATGAAAATTGATATTAAGGAGTGTACAAGGGCATTTAGGTCAATGTGTATTGTTCCCAAGGTGCAAATAGGTCCAAAAGAATTTAATGAAGGCAACCTAATATACACCAAAACAGCCTAACGGTATATTTCCAAGATTCTATTTGTTTTTTGCTCCAAAAAAAAAAAAATTGTTTTTTACAATTAGATTCTTTCACCCTAATTCTAATCATTCTTGTTAGTTACCAAAATCCATGAATTTTTCTATTTTGATCCATATTATTTTAAAATTTATAATTTTAATCTTGATGAATTTTATTAACAAATCAACATAAAATTATAAAATTTTCACTCCACTCCAGTCACTAACATTTCAAAAATTAAATATTTATTTTCCAATTACTATATCTTATAAAAATGTTACTAATTAATAATAGACTGCATAAAACAAAAAAACACAAAAGAACTATTTAAAAAATATTTACGCTCTATAATTTGAGGGGATTAAACTTTTTTATTATAAAAAAAATACATTAATTTCATAATAGTAGAGGCTAAAATATATTAAAGAACTGTTCATATATATATATATATATATAAGAAAATCTTCAAGGAGTGTTTTAGCAATTAAAACTTAATAATATTAAATTCAAAAGAAAAGGAACCCTACTACTGCTACTGCTATAAGGAAAAATATTCACACTATTCTCTTATGCCCATTATTTTTTTTTTCTCTTCCTTTTTCTTTGCCTTTACTCTGTTGAATCATCAGTACTAGTGATCTCTCTCCACCATCCAAACTCTCTTCAGTCATCTTGTACTCTCTCGCTCTCTCTCTCTCTTGCCATCTCCATCTATAAAAGCAAAACCCCACAAAAGCTAAACTATTCCTTTCTCTCTTTCTTTCAACCATGGCTGACCCATACTCAAATTTCTTCAGTGGTTGGTTCAAGTTCAACAATAATATGAATACTAATACTAATAGTAATCTTAACCCTTTTCTTCATCATTACCCATCTCAAATTCCATCTCTTCCTCAACAGCCAGAAATTCCTTTTTATACAAATCCTTTGACTGTAAACCAAAATCACTCGTTTTTTCACAACCAAACTAGACCTCCATCTCCTCCTCTAAGAGAAGCCCTACCCCTTTTAAGGTTAACTCCAACAAGAGAAGAAAAAGACCAAGAACAAGAAAATCAAGAACTTCTAGATCAAGAAAATCAAGAATTACAGATTTCTTGCACTACTGGTATGGATATGTTGGGCAAAGATCAAGAAAGGAGTAGTACTTCGTTTTCTACTAGTGGATTTAGTGCTAATAATAATAATAATGATGAGGAAGAAGATCAAGAAGAAGAAGAAGATGATACTGTTACTGTTGCACTGCATATAGGGTTACCTAGCCCTAGTGCTGCAGAAATAGCTTCCGTGCTATCTTCTTCTTCAGATGTAACTCATGAAAAAGATGGAGATGATTCTAACGGGTACCCTATTAACAGGCTTAATAAGGGTCAATATTGGATCCCTACTCCTTCTCAGATTCTGATTGGCCCTACTCAGTTTTCATGTCCTGTTTGCTGCAAAACCTTCAACAGATACAATAACATGCAGGTAAGGTTAATTAATTAATTTCATGTCATCAAATCAATACTCGTTTCTTTTCCTTCTTTTTTTTTTCTCCCTTTCTTTTGTCAAGAGAATTTTGAAGAAAAAAAAAAAAACCATGAGTTAATTTTTTTTAACTTTTTGCCAGATTTGAATCTTTTTCAGTATTAGCTAGTGTTTCTTATGGTTGGATTTAAAGAAGAAAAATCAGTTTGATCTTACACATAAAATTCTGTTCTTACCTTCTCATGTTTTTTTGGAACTTGGGTTTTCTTTTTCTTTTTTGAGAATTTATTTATTCCTTTTTTTTTTTTTTTTTTTTTTCTTTTTGCGCAGATTTGAATCTTTTTTCAGTATTAGCTAGTGTTTCTTATGTGTTGGATAAAGTAAGGAAAAATCAGTTTGTGATCTTCATGACAACATAAAATGTCTGGTTACGTTAACGCTTCTCATGTTTTTTTCGGGGGAACTTGGGTTTTCTTTTTCTTTTTTGAGAATTTATTTATTCCTTTTTTTTTTTTTTTTTTTTTTGGGCAATGGTAATTGAATGGGTATATTGGAGTTCCAATAAGTTTTTTTCTGATCCCAACTGGGACTAGATCAGTATCTTCTTTATGTGATTGAACAACTCAGGCAATGTTCCTATTGTGCCTTTAAATACTTTGCAAGTTTGTGCTGTAAAACATAACATATCTTGTGGTTTTAGAACTCGAAATTGTTTTGCAAGTCGCCCAGATCAATCTTAATTAAACAACAAAACCGTTCATTTCTCTAGTTTCTAATATTCTCTTGAACTTCCGATAGTCCACACACAACAAACAAACACTTCTCTTCATTTCATTGAATGTAATCAAAGAAAATGGCCCCTCCATATATTACAAGGAACAAGCCTAGAGTAGCACAGTTCACTATATAGAATTCTGGCTTTTCAGTTTTTTTTTTTTTTTTTTTTTTTGCATGGTATATATGGGTTTGGAGTTCCAATAAATTTTCTGATCCAAACTGGGACTAAGATCAGTATCTTCCTTTATGTGATTGAACAACTCAGGCAATGTTCCTTGTGCCTTTAATACTTTGAAGTTTGTGCTGTAAAACAGTAACATATCTGTGTTTAGAACTGAAATTTTTGCAAGTCGCAGATCATCTTTAATTAAACAACAAACCTTCATTTCTCTAGCTATATCTTTGAACCTTCCGATAGTCCACACAACAAACAAACACTTCTCTTCATTTCTTGAATGTAATCAAGAAATGCACTCCTATATATTACAAGAACAAGCCTATAGCTCAGTTCACTATATAGAATTCTGCTTTCAGTTAATCACCCAGAAAAAAAAAAATTAAAACAAAGATCAATAAAAACTCTCATTTCTGTACTTTCATAAAAGCTACTTTTCATTTTCATATGTTCTTCAATGTTTTTCTTTTTTTTTCACAAAAATTAATTTCAAAGTAAAGTACTTGCTTTAAGAATGACTATTTGAGCAATATCCTCTTGACACGGTTTTGCATATAATTAAGATATGTACGTGCCACTAAATAATTCTACTTTGAATTGGTTCTTTTATATATAAGGTTAAAATGAAAAATTAATAATTCCAAAATTTTTGATTAATCTGCTTTTGTGATTAGATAGCACTTTAGTTTGCTGTGTTTGTTTTTGCTTGTGTGTTTATATATATGCACAATTACCCAACTCTACTGAATAATGAATTTTTTTAATTAATTTTGTGTATATGTATAACATATAGATGCATATGTGGGGGCATGGATCTCAATACAGAAAAGGGCCAGAATCTCTAAGAGGAACACAACCAACAGGAATGTTAAGGCTTCCTTGTTATTGTTGTGCAGTGGGTTGCAGAAATAATATTGATCATCCAAGAGCGAAGCCATTAAAAGATTTTAGAACTTTGCAAACACATTATAAGAGAAAGCATGGGATTAAGCCTTTTATGTGTAGAAAATGTGGGAAGGCTTTTGCGGTAAGAGGAGATTGGAGAACACATGAAAAGAATTGTGGAAAGCTTTGGTATTGTATTTGTGGTTCTGACTTTAAGCACAAAAGATCACTTAAAGATCACATCAAAGCTTTTGGTAATGGCCATGCAGCTTATGGTATTGATGGTTTTGAAGAAGAAGATGATCCTGCTTCTGAAGTTGAACAAGATAATGATTAATTAATTAATTAATTCCCATGTAGTTAATTAATTATTAGTATAGCCAGAAGATTAATTAATTAATTAATGGAGGGTATTCAGGTTATTATTAGTGAAGTTTTATTTAATTAGCTATCATGATGAGAACTAGAATTAGTTTAATTATATTGGAATTTATATATATAATATATGAAATAGTTTAGGCTTTTGAAGTAAGAAGTATATAAGCATCAATTGTTTACTTGGAAAGCCATCTTCAATATATTTCCTTTTTTCTTTTAATTATTTTGAGCATTTTAATTAAGTTATTGCTTTCATGCTAATTAGGAAAATTTAATTAGTTATCGTTGATGCATTCATTTGTTCTTAACTATTAGTATTACATTGAGATCTTCGATCAAGAAGGCTGCAAATTTATATCAGAAGATTATGTGAAAACCAAACCCTCACAATATTTAGATAATTTTTTCACAAATATTTGAAGGAGCTCCAATATATTAATTTGATTACCTAAATCTTAATCTATATACAGAGGAGTATTTGATGAGCAGTTCAAGTTGTTAATGAGTTTAAAATATTTGGTAGTTCAGTGTTTGGAGTAATATTTCAAACTTCAATGGTTAATTATCTAATAAATATTATGATTAAAAATTTAAATTTGGAAGCAGCAGCATTTGATTCTCTAATAGCAAGTCGTTGAGGATTGGTATTTACTTGTAATAAATCCTAATTATATGCATTAGAAGATATAAATTGAGCTAGCAAATTCATGAACTGCTTATTCAAGTACAAATAAGTGGTTGAGCTGTGTTTTTTTTTTCTTTTTCAGTATAGTTTGGAAATTGTGTGGTATTTTGATATTTTTTCCTTCCCACAGCCATGGATATGTGCAAAGAATTAACGTCAAGAGAAGCTTCCATGCACATTATATATATGCATGCATGAAGTGGGATTTTAACTATGGATGTTTGCCGTAATTAATGATTCAAATCATAACATATATATACAAAGCTAGCAAATGGGTATGGGGAGAAAGAGAGAATGTACATGAAAGAATTAAGAAATGGATGGATGGATGGATGGATGAAGAAGACAGGTGATGGAGTGAGAGAGAGTATATTTTGTTTGTTCCAAATGTAGTTGAGATAGGCTTTTCATTCTGCAAAATGCATCAGCTTTTTGAGAGGGTGCATTTGATGCCCTTTTGCTTTGGTTAGTGGAAAGATGTGTGTGTCTCTCTATTGATGGATGGAACATATACCATTTCAGATTCACTGTTTGCTTCGAAAATTCAAAACAAATCATTAGCTTTTATAGAGAGAGAGAGAGAGACTGTGAGAGTCAGCAATTAAACTAAAATCAACACAATATATAAACACTTTAAAAGAAAATTACAGATTCAGTTAGGGTCAATAATAATTTTTTTATCGAAAAATATAAATTTATTATTAGTAGGAAACAGCTGAAGCAAGTAGAAAAAACTCCCCTATCCAGTATTCTACCCACCTAATCCAGGGTCAATTATAATTTTGATGGCATTAATTACTGAAAAGGATTTCAAGATTAAAGTACAAACTGGAGACCTATTATTCCAGATGATTAATTTAATATTGTTCAAATAAGAATTTGGCTGAGGTGGTAAGCAAAGTCCCAATAAGAGTGATAACATAAATTCGATATCTAGAAATCACATTTGCTGGGTAAAAACTTTTACATTCTTATGTCCGAAAGAAATTACACATTGTGTTTCTATAAAAAAAGTTAATTAAGAAAATCATTACTGATTAAATTGATTTGTCATTTTGCTCTGATTAAAAAAAAAAAAAGAAAAGAAAAGAAATATTGGAATGGATCTTGTTGGCAGATTTGTGTGTGAAAGAGGGGAGGATGGGCAAAGAGTAAACGATGAGGCTAAAAATAAACAGAAAGAGAGTGGACGGCAAGGTCTATTGGTTGGGCAAATTGGCAACACATACTGATGCCTCCTACAGTGCATGCAGACCTCTTAACTGTACATTGAAACGACATATCAATGCCTCTCTCTCTCTCTCTCTCTCTCTCTCTTTGACCAAAATTTCAACCTGCATTTTCCTTTGCTCTTAGTACATCATATTGTACACTGGCGTTCAACTACATGCATTCATAATTATCAGAAACAAATTATTTTTATTTATTTATCTATTTATATTATATGGTCTTGGGATCATTTAAAATCAAAAAAGATATCAGAATATTATTTATATAAATTAAAGATTTAAAAGTACTGATATTTTAAGTTGGATAGGCATGTGGATTTTTATAAATTATAATTCTTTTTTTTTTTTTCTTTTTTAAGATAAAAGAAATGTAGTACTGTTCATGCAAAATTCTTCACAGCCAGTCGATCTCAGAAGCTACTCCATTTGTTCACAATCAATGTCTTAACCCTACCATATTTGACCCTCCACCATCCCCCTCTTCTATAAATCACCTTGGCCCTCTCTCTCTCTCTCTCTAGTAAAGCATGCAAGCATTTGAAAGTTGCATAGTAATTAATAATTTCATATATTTTTCTATTACTTAATCTCATATTTTAAATAATTAATTGACAGTTGATCCAACTAAAGTAAACTATGTTAATTTCTAATGAAATCTTTTAAGGTTTAAAGCCTATAAAGTCTCTAATGCTCAGAGAACTTTGATAGAATATATATTATCTCGGCTTATTTAGGTTTTCTCCGGCAAAATTAACTATCTAAGTACTAGTTTTTAGTTATTGTAGTAGTTTGTCAATTTTTTTACTAGTGTTCATTAAACCTTAAAGAGAGTAATCTTTCATAATCAGCTCTTTTAAACTTTAAATACTCAAAACACTAATTAAATGCTATATTAAACTAATTTAAGAGATAATATCAATATATTTATTGCTTTTATTATTGATTTAAAGGTAATTTCAATAAATTAGGCGTATTAATTAATTATACAACGCTTTTCTTTTGCATACAAAATACAGAATGAGATGATTAGCTATTCAAAAGTTTTTGGCATATATCTTTAAATAAAGAAAAAGCTAGGCATCGGTCCCAATCCCAAATGAGAGATTTTTGCTAGAAAATGGTTCACATGCATGCAATTTCAAGACCTCATCAATTCAAATTCTTCTTCTTTTTATTATTATTAATATAATACTTTCCTTTGCTTAAAATCCCAATACCCTTTTTTCAGTTCCTTTTTGCAATTAAATACACAATAAATTTATAATTAATTAATAAGATTGGTTCCATAATTCCATTATACTGTTGGCTTGACCTTGTCAAGCAGACCAACCAAGAAAGAGAGAATACGTATAATAATGTATTTATATATTTTTATTCTCTCCTTTGTATTTATATTCCAATACAAAGGGGACAGCCTTGTCTCCCTTGCCTCGACTCACTAACATTATACAATTAATTAATTATTAACTCAGAAAAAAACAAAAGAGACATGTGTATGTATGCACATTTTTTTTTTATTGGTATGACATATATTTTTTAGAAAGAATTTACTGTTGGTAATAATTTTTATCTTTTGTGATGCAGAAAGGAAGATTTCTTTTAGCCTATGAAAGCATGACATGGAAACCAAATTCTCTATGGCAAATGAAACTTTAATTTGTACGTTTATCAGACAATATCTGATTTCTTATTGGTAAAGCACAAAATTTTCACTTTGAAGCAAAAAAAAAAAAAAAAAAAAAAAAAAAAAAAAAAAAAAAAAAAAAAAAAAAAAAAAAAAGTAAAAAATAAAAGTTACTTTACCATATTGATGCCACCAAGCCAATTAAATCTTAGTGGGGTGCTAAAGGTGAACATGTCCATCACCATAATAAAAGCTATTAAGACATGACCATTGAACAATTAATAATTAAGAATGAAATATATAAACTTTTAATTTCATTAAAATGAGAGTTTTTTTCTTTCTAAATTACCATCTACTACTTTAATAAAAATTACTCCCTCAATCCAAAAAGATAATTCATCTTTTCTTTTTAATTTGTCCCAAAATATAGTCCACTTTTCTTTTTTCACTATAGTTAATCATTGAATTGTCTACTATACCATTATTAAATTATCTTATTTTCAATAACCATCATTAATTATTAGTTATTACTTTTCAATATTCATGTATTATTTAAGATGGACATAATAGAAAAGTTATATAAATAAAATTGTCCTTTAATCATATTTCTTAATCTATGTAAAAATAAAAAGTGAAATATCTTTTTGGGACGGAATAGTAATACACTAATAGTAATACATATATATATATATATGTCAATCAAAAATGTTTTGATTGATCTTCTCACTAATATGAAAAGTTGGAGGTCTCAAATTCAAGTATTTCCATCACAAGTGTTTTCACCAATTCAGTAAATTAAATAATTCAGTAAATTAAATAAAGGTTATGTCATGTTATATAGCCTGCAGTTTTTTTTCGATTCATTGGATCTCTCAATGAATCAACTCAACAACTGACGTAAAAAGGCAGGTTGGGCACCGCTCCTCTCGATCCTTTTTTGTTTATTTATTTCACTTTACATACCGTTAATTTTTTTTTATTTAAAATCCTAATTTTGAATTTTTTTTTTGGTCTCCTTAACCTTAGAGTTTGAGCCTATCACTAGTTCAAAAGTAAACTTCAAGGATTATAATGTTAATAATTATTCCTAAATAATATTATTATCTTATTAATTTATGTAAAAAATTAAGTAAATAAAATTAAACTTGAGGTTAGTCTAATATTCCTCAAAGTATATGAGACAACTTTGTTAGAGAGGACCCAGTAAGCAATAGGAAAAGCAAAATAATCTTGACCCATAATCACAAGTATCTTTGAAAAGGAATATATATATATATATATTACATAAATCATAAATAATAATTAATAATTAAAAAAAAAAAAGATGGTCCAAAAATCCTTCTTTTGGACTATACCTAGAGATCTCTTAAAATTTTCTCAGGATCATTATCCATGACAAAGTTACCCTGCTTTGGTGCCTGGAGATTCTCCAACTTGTGAGTGATTGGGTATCTTTGTTCTTATTATTATTGTTGTAGAGAATAAAAAAAAAAAAAAAAAAAAAAAAAAAAAAAAAAAAAAAAAAAAAAAAAAAAAAAAAAAAAAAAAAAAAAAAGGATGAAAATAAACTTCATTGAGAAGAAAGAGAGACATAACTTAAAGAAAGAGGGGAGAGGCATATCTAGGCTTTTCTCTCTGCTC